AGAATCATATTTGGCAGGTTATGAAACTAATTAAATGGGTCTAACCATATTGGCTAGACAGGAAAATAATAAAAAACCATCCTAAAAGAACAATGGTAAATCACTTCCATACCTCTGCCAAGAAAGCTGCATGGAAGAACCTTTCCCTCTCCACCATAGTACTGTTGTAGCAGTAAGAAGAAAAGGGGGGGAAAAGCCATAGAATATTTCACAGGATATACTTGATTTTTGAATTATATACCCAATTAAGAGCCACGTACTCAAAATCATCTATATCATACATACACGCTCATATATACAGGTGGGGGGGGGGAGGAAACAACTGAAAAGATACAGAAAAATTGATAAAAGTTACATTTTGAGTAGTAAAATAATTTAGACTGGAGAGAAAACAGCTATCCTTGGCAGCAATACATGTGAAAAAGAACTGGGTGAACACAAGCTAAGCAGGCGTGATGAAGGTGAAACTGGTGTAGTTAGAAAAAACAAAAGTATGTTGAATGCAGTGGAAAAAGGGAATTAGTATATGTGGAAAAACAAGAAGAGGTCAGAATGAAGACTGAATGGATACTGAATCATTGGGATTGAATGACATACATTGACATGCTTTGAAATGCATACAGTAAATCAATGAGGTTCATATTGTAAAATAAATGAAGGAAGAGAAAGTGAATTAAAGAACAAATGCAATATATAAAGTGTATGGATGTGGTTGGAACCAAGATAAGTTGAAGAAGATAGATAGGTAGGTAGGTAGGTAGGTAGGTAGGTAGGTAGGTAGATAGATGTACAATAAATATTATTAGATCATATATATTTCATCTGTCCCAAGTTGTCTAATGTTAAAGTGCTACTATTTTTATGTTAGTTGTAAATAGGATCTTAGTGAGCAGCTTATCACTATGATATGGAAGAACCTGGAAGGAGAAGGTTGGTGGCAAATAAAGCATATAGACGAACATTGCAAATTCACATTTCATTCTTAAAGTTATGGTTTGATTTTCGTTATGACTGAATACTTATTTCATAATTTATTTTACAATGTAGGTTATTTTTGTTCAGGAATAACATGAGATTTATTATAAATAATCACATGCTACAATTTTCAGGAGTATATATAAAATGTGTTTGTATAGATTTAAATTCTATGATTTTCCACATCTGTGCTATTCTCTGTAACATCAAATTGATAGTCTTTTCTTTACATTTTACAACACATTTTAAAAACAGCATGTCATATTCTTATTAAACCTATGATCATAATTTTAATATTAGCCAACTATATATCTGTGAAAGATGTTTTTAAGAATTTTCCCTTTAATTGAAAATTTTATGTTTATATTTTTCAATAGCTAGTATTTCTATTTTCTAAACAAACTGTCTTACTATGCATATTCAAGGACAAGATTGTTTTCCTATTGCTATTGAATATTACATTTACAATGCACATATGCTGACATAATTTATATCATTTGTGCGCTCTCCAATGAAATAGATTATTAATTAATAATGGACACTCTGTCCCCATTTATCAAGTTAAATATGGTTTTCTTGTATCTCTAAGGAATTTCTTGTATCTCTAAGGAATTTCTTGTATCTCTAAGGAATACCTATTTCAATCTGTATTTGCGCATTTTGTACTGTGATTACTACTAGCAGTACCAAGACTAGCAATTTATGATATGTTAGTAAATTGTTCTTATCTTTCCAATGAATTGTTCTTAATTTCCTAGTAAACAAATAGTGGTTTTAACATGTTCTGAAATATTGTGGCCAGTTCTGAAAACCTCACTTAAAAAAGATATTGATAATGCTGAGCAACAAAAATGTTGCAAGATCTGAAGAACAAAACACCAAGAGAATATGTATAGCCTGGAGGACAAAAGACAAAGGAACAACATGCTTGAAAACTTTAAATATAGTAAGGGTGGATAAAGTTTTAGAAGGAAGTATTTTCAATAGTAAGCAAAAATCAAAAACAGGGGCATAATGTCAAACTAACAGAATTGAAGTACAAAAGTAATGTTAGAAAAAATTATTTCACAGAAAGAGTAATGGAAGGTTGGAACCAACTTCCAGTGGAGATAGTGGGTCAATCATTAGTAAAGGAGTTTAAACATGCTTGGGATAAACACATGTCCATCATCTGACAAAAAGTAAAAAATAAATAAAATAATAATTAAAAATAAATTAATTATTTAAAAAGAAAAGTGCGGGGACTCAAAGGATAGACTTGATGACCACTAGGTCTTTTTCTGTCATCTATTTTCTATGTTTTCATGTTTCTTCAAAACCTTTTAGAGTTGAACAGATTAACATCTCTTCTAATCATAGTTCTTCCCTTATTAAGGCTGTACCATTGCCATATTTCTAACAAACAATAATATTCTTATCTTGGGGAAAATAATAATAATAATACATTTCATAGTATTTTACTATATCTCATATATTTTATTATTAGGTAGTTAACAAAGTTGAAAAGTACATTTTAAAACAATTCTAAAATTCACATAGCTAAAATTAATACAATAGCACTATTAAAGAAACTTAAATGCCAGAATAGATACAAGGTTTTTTTGCATATTCCTAAAGTGTAGGGAGATCAGTGAATGCTTTATTTTTGAAAGTGTTTATGTGTCCATTTTGTATTTTGTAGGCTATGTTTATCATATATGCATTGTAATTGTATTTATGCTGTTTTGATTGTTTGGGTGACCCATCTAGTTATTTTTTAAGGTGGCATCCATGCAGGTTTTTAAACAAATAAATAATTTCCAAACTAAGGGTTATTTCTTTAACCTAAGCAGTACCTCTTTCTGGTTGATATCAAATATACATCTCAAGATGTGATACTGCCAAGAGGCCCTCTAATTGAGATTCAAAATAGTCAGGCAGATGTCAGTCGAATAAGGCAGTCTCTTGGATATCATGATCTCAATTATTCAAAAGCCAAATCTTAAATCTCACATGGTGCACTTCGTTCAACAATAATATTACCCGGTGGGGATGAAATGCACCATATAAAGGCAACACTGCTATTACATTTTGTACTCTCTGTACCTTCTGGATCACATGAAAGGACAACTCCAAATAAAGCACATTCCAATAATTAAGTCATTCAGTGTTCTGAGATGTCTGTAGCTGGAACACCAATGAAAGCTAAAACACAGTAGAAAAGTACTCTTATTCAGTCTAAAATAGCATCCAGACACTAATTGTAATGGAATGACTTTGGGGGATATGGAAAAGAGATGCTGCCTAGGAAACAATTAGGCAAGAGGGGGAGATGCCACCAAGGAATTAACAGGCAAAGAAATTTAGGAAGGACCCAATGGATTCAGCTATTAAAAATGGTGGTACTATCAGACTTGCAAGATTTCATTAATATAGCCTTAGAATAAAATAGAATTAATTCTTCTACTCACATTTCCTGTCTGATTACCTAGGAAGGTTGACACTAATCTAGGACCTGTGTAACTTTCCCTAGGTACATTGAATAGAGAGACATGTAAGTTATGAGCGTTTTCCGTCAAATTTGTTTTTAATTACTTTATATAAAGCTATATAACATATTTACTCTATTTATGGCTGACATAACTTTTTTTGCTTTAAAACAAAACTTGTTTGTTTTAAATATCCAAAACTTGAAGAAAAAAGGTGGTGTTAAAATTTCAGAAAAACACATTTGAGAGATAATGGCTAAAGGTGTTGCAAGTAATCATTACTCCTTTTAATGTTTCTTTTTGATAACTGCTTTTTATTTTGAGCGGTTGTGCTAACAATGGTGTAAAGATCTACTAAAATGTCACAAGGTAAATCACAAATGGTTGCTATATATATAAATTTGCTAATTATGGAGTTAAAACTTAGTTTACATTCCAAGACTGGTAAAAATCAACCCTTGGTTTGTATTTAATCTTGGTTTTAATTACTAGGGAGGGCACTTCAGCACTTTAGGTGCAATAGTTGGCAAAACATTAACTACTGAACTGTTACCTACAATGGGTCTGAAAGAGCTTTATATGTCTAGAACATTTTGACATTTTAACTGTCCTGTTCTGTCCCAGAATGCTGAAAGTGCAGTGTGTAACCATGTCATATCCTTCTCCTAATAATGAAATGTTTCTTTGGGGTTTTGTCTTTAAGCATAATAAAGCTCTTTATAGATCTAAAGGATTTTCAGGTAGATAAAAATGTTTGAACATTTAATCCAACAACCGTAAAAATATTAAGTGGTTACATTCAATTTCCATACCCAAGTAATACAGTGTTTGATGTGAGAACTACCCAACCAGTTAGCCATACATTTTTACAAAACCAGAATTCAATAGCATAATTTTATTCCTTTTTTTGTAAAAGCTAAAAACACTTGGGCATGGGGAGTACACAGATTCTGAAAGCAAGCTTTAAAACAAAATTCTTGCAATTATTTTAGAGATATTTAAGAAATAAATGTCTTTCAAGTGAACAAAATCTGTTTATTATCTGAGGTGTCAGAGAGAAAGTGTCATTTCTGTTTACTTCAGCATCTCAGTAGAAAGACACATTGCACTGAAAAAGTTCTTTTAGAAGTTCAATTACATTTTAGTATCTTTTTCTAAATGGGAACAAATATAACATTTAAAGGTCAGGCATCTCTCAGTCCAGCTGCAGAGAGTATTGTATTTTAAATCTTCAAGGAATTTCTATGTTTCTGATAACTTTTATGGTTTTTTTTTCCTAATTTAAATCCTTATAAGTGTATTGCTTTAAGAAATAGACCACATTTTTATTTTATTTTATATATAATCCTATTTTTTATAACTCAAGACAGTGAACATAATATTTATTCTTACTTTCTTCCTGTAGCAGCAATTTCTTCTGTTATGATTTGTTTATACATGTATGCATTTATTTAAAAGTTTCTATTTTAAAAGGGATATTACCCATTTACTATTACATATTTATTATTAATGATAAGAAATGAAAATGTTGACATTATGTTTCTGTTTTATTTTCAGCTGAACCTCTACCTTTAATGGATCTGTGTCGAAGATCAATTCGCTTTGCTCTGGGACGAGAACGCCTGCATGATATAGAAACTCTACCTTTGCCTCAGTCTTTGAAAAATTATTTACAATATCAGTAATATGATTCTAGAGCTCTAAATGGTAGAAATTGTTTACATCAGAATATAAATCTTCATGGTGGATATTTTGAGTGTTATTTAATTATTTTTTACATTTTTAAAAAATAAACCATAGCAAAGGATTATGGAGACTACTAAGAAATGTGAAAATGTTGAATTTATTTAGTTCTTTCAGTAGAATAATTGTTGCCTTTACTGTTACACAGCCTCGTTATGCAGAATCCAAAGCTTGTTTTCACAGGTAAGAGCCAAATGTGATATGTGTGTTAGGTTAGACCTAATGTTGGATGTGTGCCTGATGTGCAAGAGATGCAAATACAACTCCCCAAACCAGTGTTCATAAAAGAAGAATATTTTATATAGATCAGAGTATCAGCATGTGAAAGAAATAATCCCCGTTTGATGTTTTTCAAAATTCTGGAACTTAATATGCCAAATAATTAGGGTTCTTACAATATCAATTATGATGCAAAATCCTTAGTCATGCAATGTGTTCATTCTCATTTTGGAAGGAAAATGTTCCAGGAAACACATCACATCTAGTGTGCACCATAGGAAGACATTGGGGATCTTTGTGCACATGGGACATACAAGTCTCATTGGTACTGCAAGATTGTGGCCTCTTACTTTTAGGTGCTCAGATGTTTCAGAAAATAATTTTCTTGGTATAATATATAACCTGCCATATTTTAACTTACTTTATTGAACAAGATAGTTGATCTTGTTTTCCAAAACAACTCAGCTCACTCTACAAATTAGTTAAATTAGTTGACTTTCTTAAATTGTTTTTGGTTTTATTTCTTCAATAGAATGAAATTTAGTCAATTAGTCTTTTCCAGCTTAACCAGTTTTTGTTCAGGTATTCTGATTCAGACCTATATTGATTTGTCAAATATCATGCTGCCTTTTTATTTGTGACCACATTATTACTATTATTATTTACTTTTTCAGTTCCAAATACCAGGTTTCCTGTAATGTGCCTATGGCATAAGAGAGCTTGAATTAATCCACTCCATGCACACATTGAGAAATTCCAGAGCTCAAAAGCTAGCCAGGCCCTCTGCCAGAATCGTGTGCCAGTTTCCCATGTGAATATCCAAGGCCTTGATGACTGTTCCACATGTTCAGATACCCCTATGCTTGTACTCATACATTTGTGCATATATTTATGTGAATACCTCATTCTCTGAAATTTTTATCTATTTCTAACCATGCCAGATTGGCAAAACACATGTTACCATGGCATCACATACAAGTACATAAAGAGCAGGATATAAACTGCAACATATTTTATTGTTTTGCAACTCCCCTCATATAAACCCCATCTATTCTACCAGATATCCCTCAGAGAGGCAACACATGGTTCCAGAAACAGGAAAACGTAGCCTATAAATGTCTTGTTTTAAAACTTGCAAGGGACAATAATATGTAAGTTTATACAGTTTTGTTTATCTTGTCACACATTTAGTATTACATTTTGAATTTCTCTCTCCAGAATAGAGTGGATTTTTTTTTTACATCTTTTTCTCCTTTGCCTAGAATGTGTGTTCATTTGTCAGGATCAACTTATTTTTAAGGGAACTGCTTTTGTTTGTAATTTTTTTCTGCTACATTCACATTTCTTTGCCTGATCATGATCTAGTTTTTAACTGGAAGTTGTTGTAATGGCAGGATATCAAATGTTGATTGAGCTGCGTTCAGCATATTTTAATGTGAATTCACCGAAGAATGAAGATATTTCTAATAAACTCTACTGTCCAAATGACTACTGGTGTATTATGTTTCCTTTCTTTCCTATTCTAAGTTACTTGCATGCATATTATAATAGACCACTTAGTCGTTCATTTTTTTCCTCTACCCAACCATTATTGTTACAATATCTTTCATAGAGATGCTTTCCCATCAGAGAGAAATGTATAGAACTAGAAACAAGCTGATTTACAGAAATACAATAGGTTACAAAACATCTTCGATGACATAAAGTCCTCTGCTTCAGTTTTAAACAATTTATTTCTTAGTAACGTCTGTCTACTCCCTTTGTTCAATTTTGGCTTCATTCTGTTTTCATTGGCAGAATTATCTGTGTCAACCACCCACTTCTAGTACCCTTCATGATACAGGTTGCAGTACATTAGAAGAATAGATTTTAATGACAGTTGAAGCTGTATTTTACTTTCCACTGCTTATAACGTTTTGCATTCTTTGTCAAGTGCAAATTCTGTTTTATTTTCATGTCAGTTTGCCAATTTAAAAAAGATATTCAAACCTTATGTTCATCTTTTTTCTCATGGACAGGAAAGCTTGAAAGGTTTTTACTTACAATTTTTCTCTGCTTATATAAAGAGAAACAATTGTTCTACAATTGTGAATAGTTTTTGATCTGAGAACTGAATTGCAGAATTTAGAAATTAAAAAGTTGAAAGTTATGTGAAAAGTGTGAATGAAATAAAGCAAATTTATTTTGCCAATATCTTAATTGATGCTATAATTCACCAATGTTTTTTGCATGTTGGTTTTTTTTGGGTGTACTGCAATTCTCTGTTAGGAGATAGACCTTTTTTTTATCTTGGCATAGAAACAAACTTTTCTTCTAACTAATAATAATAAAGTAACATGACCCAGGGTTATTCTAATTATTGCAGTTCTATATTTATCAAAACATTTCATTATGTTTCAATTTTTTTCAGTTGCAAACATTATAAAAGATTATACAAAATGAATATTATTCCCAATCTTATTTACAACCTTGAAAGAACGTTGCTGATAACTACTATCTTTTTGTTTATTTGTTTCTTAAATTCATTTGCCACCTATCTCACTTTGGGGCTACTCTAGACAGCTTACAATAATAAAAAGGAAGAACATGAAAGTGTAAACAGAACAAAAGTAAAATAATAGAACCATAAAATAAACTATGAAAAAAAACAATAAGAATACATCAATATGATAACCAAAAAGATGGATGGGTGGAAAGTAGAGCTCAAAAAGTGGAAGGTGGAGTCTGCCATCAATCCAGCAGCCACTTCCAATGTGAAACTCGTCCATTTGGCCCCTAGGCTAACCAGCAGACCCAGATCTTCAGGCGCTTGTGGAAAGATAGGGTGGAGGGAAATCTTACCTTAGAGGTTAAGATTTTCGAAAGGATGGGCACAGGAGCAGAGAAGGCACTTCTCGATCCTGATAGAGTTCTTTGACTGACAGGATCCAAAGTAGACTTTCTCTGCAGCATGAGTAGGATAGACTTGTTCTAGTGGGACAAGGCAATTCATCAGGTAGTCTGGACCTATGCCATTAAAGGATTTAAAGGTCATAACTAACACCTTGAAGTGCACTTGAAAGCAGACCCAGTAGCCTGTGAAGTTCACAGAGCAGAAATGTAATATGGGCCATCCCTAGGGGGCCAAAGACTTGGTGCTGCACTTGAGTGCGCATTGCAGTCTAGGTGACAAATGACCAGGACTTGAGTCATGATCCAGGAAAGGTCACAAGTGATGCACAAACAGGAATTCTCCTAGTCACATCTGCCACCTCTTCAAGCAGGAGACATGAGTCCTAAGTTGCAAACTGGATGTGAACGGGATGGTGCAATCCAATCCAGAACTAAGGATGATGAACATTTAGATCCTGAGGCTTCATGCATCCAAAAGCCACTCAGTCTTGCCAGGGTTCAGTCTAAGTCTGTGGTTCCTTCATCCAGATTCCTTGCAGCTTCCAGGCATCATGAGAGGGTGAGACATCACTTGGGTCACCATATAAGTTTATACTTTTATAAAGAAAGCTTCAGAAATTAAACTTTTCTGAGTTCTGAGATTCCTCCTCTCTGACCATAGATCAATTTATCCAAGTTAAAGAAAGTCAACTAATTTAAGTCTGACTTTCCTGTAACTATTCTGTCCACTCTCTACCAGCAATATGTTGCATGAGGAAATTTTCTAAAATATAACTTTGTATTACAAAATATTAGAATGGTTGCCATTTGTAACAGTCATCTTGGTGGACTTTTAGATTTTCTACTGGTATGTTCCAACAGTACTGTCCAACTTGTGTCAGGGCATTTTACATTATATAAAAGATAATGTCTCTTCAAATTGAGCTCCGTCTTGGGTGACTTCATGCTGAAGCTGTGATTCATTTTATTTTATTTTTGGATGAAACAGTCCAGAATTTTCTCATCCATGCTGCGATGAGAGTCCAGGGATGAGTATGACTCCTCCCTCTGACATCATAGAGCTGAGTCTGCCACTGTATAAAAAGCCAGCCCATTGCTGGCTCCCCAACTTTTGACTCAGCTTCTTGTCAATGAGCTAGTGTCTCTGGATGAAGTTAAAAAGATAAAAAAAACAGCAAAACAACAGAGGAAGCAGAAATGAGCTGTGCCATGAGAATAGCGGGGATCCGTACTCCTGCAGCATTGAGGCTTTGGCACTGCCTTTCAGGGAAGCTGTGAGTACAGGGAGTGCTCGGCTGAGCCTCCCACGGAGTTTCCCAAGCGTTTTGGGGCGGCCGCTCCACACCTGATTTTTGGAGCTCTGTTATCATTGTCTCTCGGTTGTTTGCCAGATAGCCATTTGATTGCTCAGGGCCTGGAGAGAGCCTGAGGGCCTGGAGAGAGTGAATGAGATGACGATGTCATTCCCAGGAGCAGTGCACATGGCGGGTGGCCATCTTGAGTGGTGGTCAGCCATTTTGTTTCAAGGAGCAGCTATTACCGGGGCCTCACAGCTGAACCTGCTCACCTGGCCCATGCAACAGACGACACTCTCACATGGGAAGCTCCCAGCACCTCTTGTGTTGGTCCTGTTGGTGAAAATGGAAAGCGAAATGGCCCAGTCAGACCTCACTGGCCTTGAAGAAGCCCAGGGTTCTCAGGCCGCAATGAGGAAGTGGAGAAAGCAAAGAGGCCTTTCAGCAAAAAGAGAGGCTGGAGCAAACATCAGGGCCAAAGCATTGGTCCCCAAAAAGACATATAAATCCAAACTCAGGGCTTAGAAAAGAAGGCATGCTGCTTTGGATAAACAGTTTGCTAAGACCCTGGAACAGATGAGAGCCCAGATCCAACAGACCTCTCAATCAGGGGAATTGCAGGTTTGCCCAGAGGTTATGGCCAGGGCAGGGGAGGCTGAAACTAGCTGTACCAACTGTCTTCAAGCTTGGTCTCCAGAGAAGGTAGAGGAAGAGCTTTTGCCCCAAGACTTAAGCAGGTCTGGGCCCAACTTCAGACAGGCTGCCTGGGGTCCAGGTTCCTCCCACTCCCTAAGTCAGGTGATCCAAGGAGACCATAGGCCTAGGCCTGAGGCAACTTACACTCCCACTACTGCAGACCTGTGTCCAGTGGACCCCCCACAGGTAGCAGGCCTTATGATATTAGAGACGTGGTCTCAGTGGCCATCAGGCAGGGCTTAGCTGAGAGGTTTCAACAACTACTCCACCCCTTAGGGGGGGTCAGTCCTTGTTCCCTGCTTACTCCCAAGAGATTCCTCCATTTCAGAGGGATTTTCCCAGACAGCAACAGTTCAGTTGCCCATTTACCCAATCTGATTGGGATGAGGATGAGGAGAGGCATTACACAAACCCTTCAGAGCACAGTCGCTCCTCCATATCAGAGGAGGAGGAAGGTGAGATCAGGGATTCTAATTTATCAGAGAGGAGAGGCCTAGGTCTGACCAACCCCCATCAGCAGCAGTTTTTAAACCTGTTTAAACTGTTCCTACACAAGGCCCAATTAAGTCCTGAGGAGGTGGCTCCAAACCCAAAGTGGCTTCTAGCCACAGTGACTCCCTTTTCTCCAAACCAATGGTCCACACAGAGGTTCTTCCATCCCCTCTGCTATTCCTTGATTTAGTAAAAGAGCAGTATGCCTCCTCTGGGGCAGGGCCTCAGTCTTCATCACACAACAGGCATTTTTACAACATAGGCCCTTCCTTGGCCAACACTTCTAGTGCCTTCTGTGGATTCTCTGGTGGTAGCCCCATTCTCTACATTGGGCACCCCCACTGAACCAGAGGATGTGTTCAAGGCTGAGGACAATAGATCAGAACAACCCCTCAAGCACACCCACTAGGCAGCGACTTGGGCTGTCCAAGCCTTGACAGCAGCTTTGTTTTTTATGAGGGCATCACTGCGTTGGCTGCACCAGCTGCAGGATAGGCTACCTACCACCAATTTCAGATCACATCAAGATCTAAATAAGATCATTGTGGCAGCAGAATTTACAGTGAACACTACACTAAATTCAGCTAAGTTTGCCTCAAGGGCTATGACTTTCTCGGTGGCAGCAAGGAGGCTCCTCTGGCTGCGAAATTGGTAGTCTGATTCCCACTGAAAATGGAAGTTGGCATCGACCCCATGCACTGGAGAAAACTGTTCGGCGACACCCTGGAGCCATACTTGGTGGAAACCAGGGACAAGAGAAAGGTACTCTCTTCTGCAGGGAAGAAGTCAGAGTATCATCCCACGCCATATTACCAACCCTCCTCCTTCCAACCCAAGTCCAACCCTCATTTCTCTCGGGGCCAGAGAGTGTTCCTTCCTCGCCAGGAGCAACAACCAGAGGCTGCAGGCAGGCAACAGCAAACTACCGGTAAATGGCCCTTTCGAGGAGGAGGAGGTCATTCATTCTGATGTTCCAAGTGAGTGCCCCTTCTCCCCCTGATTGGAGGTCATTTGGCCTTCTTTGCCTCCAGATGGAAGGAGTCAACATTGGACGTCTGGGTACTCAGGATGATAAGGTCGGGTCTCCGGCT